GGCTGCAGCAGTGGGGTGATGGGGCTGGCACCTTCCCCTGATCAGCCTGGTCGCCTCCGCAGAGGGAAGCCAGACTGCGGCTTAGGCCCACTCCCTAAGCCGTCAGTGGGACATCCCCTGAGGGCTCCCAGTCTGTGAGAGGGGGCAGGCTGGGCTGAGGGGAACCCCACCCCTCCAGTACACAAATTTCATGCACCAGGCCCCAAGTCCTATATAATAAAAGTGTAGTATGCAAATTGTCTCCTCGACCAGGGGGTGGGGCCGGCCAGGGGAAGGGAGGGAGGCCCCGGCTGGCAGCTGGCAGCTGCTAGGGACCCTACCAGTGCACAAATTTTGTGCACTGGGCCTCTAGTAATAAATAAAACATTTGAGTTTTGTGTATTAACCTAATATCCTGTATAACCTTGCTAAATTCACTTATTACTCCTAGTTGCTTTGTAGATTCCTTAGCATTTTCTATGTAAACAATTATGTCATCTGTAAATTAAGACAGTTTAACAATTTCTTTTCCAGACTTCCTTTTATTTCTATATCTTGTTGTAATTCAACGGGTAGGACTTCCAGTGTGATGTTGAATACAAATGGCCAGAGTGAGCATCCTTGCCTTACCCAATTTTAGGATGAAATGCTCAATATTTTGGCATTAAATACAACATCAATTGTACTTTTCAATAGATGCCACTTAGCCCTAGCCAGTTTGGCTCTGTGGTTAGAACGTTGGCCCATGGACTCAAGGGTCTCGGATTCAATTCTGGTCAAGGGCACATACCTTGGTTGCAGGCTCTATCTCCGTGTGGGAGACAACCAATTGATGTGTCTCTTTCACACCTCTCCCACTCCCTCTCCCTCTGAAAATCACTGGGGGAAAATATGCTTTGGTAAGGATTAACAAAACAAAAAAATAGATGCAATTTATTAGACTGGGATTACCTTCTATTCCTAGTTTGCTGAAAAACAAAACAAAAAAACAAACCACAAAAACAAAAAACCACACACAAAAAAACACCCCAAAACCAAACCCAAACAAGCAAACCCAAACCTTTTTTTAAATCAGATAAGGATGTTTTTCATATGCCTTTTCTGTATTAATTGAAATAATCACATAGTTTTTATTCTTGTTATGTTAATGTGGTAAATTATGTTTATTAAATTTCCAATCTTAAAACAAGCTGTATTCCTGGAACAAACCCTGCTTAGCCATGATGCATTAGCCTTTTGGTATATTGTTGGATTTGATTTGCTAATAATGTCTTAAGAATTTTTCATCTTATGTTCACGAGAAACATTAGTCTATAAACTTTTCTGTAATATCTTTGTCCAGTTTTGGTGTTACTATATACTAGTCTGAGTTGGAAAGTGCTCTTTTTCCTTAAATGCCTGGAAGAATCTAGTAAAACCTGAGCCTGGACATTTTTGGGGGTAAGATTTTTTGAAAACAAACTTAATAGAAATTGTGTTAGCTTTGGTAAGCTTATAATTTTCAAGGAATTTATCCATACAATTTAAATCGATGGATTCATTGGCATAAAGTTCATAATATTCTATTATCCTTTTAATAGGATCTTAAGTGATAATCCCTTTATCATGCTTGATATTGGTAATCTGATTTCTCTTTTTTTTCTTGATTAATCAAGAAATCAACTTTGTTGATCTTTTTCCAAAAAACAAATTTTGGAATCCTTAATTTTGTCTTTTATTCCATTGATTTCTGCCCTTACCTTTATAACTTCCTTCCTTCTACTTACTTTGGGCTTACTTAGTTCTCTTTCTAGCTTCTTCTTTTTAAAAAAATGTAGTTTTATTAATTTCAGAGAGGAAGGGAGAGGAGAAGGAGAGAGAGAAACATCAATGATGAGAGAGAATCATTGTTTGGCTGCCTCCTGCACACCCCACAATGGGGATCAAGCTGGCAACCTGGGCATGTGCCTTTATCAGGAATCGAACTGTGACCTCATAGTTCATAGGTTGACACTCAGCCACTGAGCCTCGCCGCCAGGCATTTTTCTAGCTTCTTAAGTGGAAACCTTAGACATTGGATTTAGATATTTTTCTTTTCTAATTTAAGTATTAGAGCTATAAGTTTCCCTTTCAGCACTGTGTTCCACAAGTTTGATACACTGTATTGTATTTTCATTGTCATTCAGTTTAAAATATTTAAAAATTTTCCTTGTGATTTCATTAAGCTATAGATTATGTAAAAGTGTCATTGCTTAATTTCCAAATATTTGGGATTTTTCCTAGGTATCTTATTTTCCTGTTTTAAAATTTAATTTCATTATATTCTTAGAGTATATTTGATATTATCTTAATCCTTTAAATTTACCGAGTTGTTTTATGGCCTAGCACACTGTCTATATTGGTGAATGTATACCTTGTACCCCTGGAAAAGAACTAGAGACTGATACATCTTACTGAAGAACCTTATATTTGAAGAGATTTATTCATAAAGTAAGACAATTTTAAAAGGTTTTCAATTCCGAAACCCACAAAGGAAGATCTGTCAAGTTCTTTTTCTAATTATACTGGTCTTCCTTAATTATCATCTAAAAATATCTACTAATCATAGAATTGTCAGTGACAAATATCCTAAATTTCCATAGCCATTTTCATCTCTCACACTGGATTAAATAACTCAGTTGGGAATTACTTAGTAATTGCGAACAACTTTAAATACTACAACACCATAAAGTAAAGCAAAATAATTACCACCATATTAACAAGGAAGATGCTGAACCAGTTAGGCCGGTTGTCTAAGGTCACACTAAAGCAGGAACTTGCCAGAATTAGACACTGGAGTTCTTATAGTCTAATTATCATATGGCTCATCACTCAAAAGAACTACTGTAAGAATGATAACAACTCATGTAGAAACCTAAGTTATACCAGAGTCAGAGACTCATATTACTAAAATGATATTAAAGATCATCTACTTCAATATCCTCACTTTACAGATTGTTCAATGTCACACTTCTAGACACAGTAAATGGGAGAATTTGGCACTCCTAAATCCAAGTTCAATAATCTTCAATTACTCGAGAAGAACAGCTATCCTTCACTGCCATTTCAAATTCTTGAGTTTATATAAAAAAGCCTCGATGTTTTTACTGATAACTATGAACAATGCATTCACTTAATTAAAAATTAATTAAATTATCTGTCCAGGTCCTACACTTGGTGCTAAATGAATATTTACTATGTCATAGGCACTGTTACTTGCATTTTCACATTTATTCTTCAAAATAGTATTATAAATTACTATCTCTATTTTAAGGAATAAAATTTATTTATTTTTAAAAAATATGTTTTTATTATTTTTTTTTAGAGAGAGAGGGAGGGAGAAGGATAGAGATAGAAACATCGATGACAGAGAAACATCAATTGGCTGCCGCCTGCACACCCCCTACTGGGGTAGAACCAGTAACCTCTTGGTTCCTGGCTCAACACTCAATGGCTTAGCCACACCAACCGGGCAAGGATTAAAATTTAGGAAGATCAAGTTATCTGCGCTTGGTCTTCAGTGAAGAAATGCCTTCATACAAGGTAAATGGTGCCTTCTGCCACAGCAGCCATAGCTCTGTGGTACCCTATGGCCATGGGCCCTCAACAAGGGCCACAAAGTGAGCAAGAATATCAGGAAGCCGAGGCACAGCCAGGACCATGGGCACCTCACCAAGCACACGGAAGCAGTGCAAGCTGGTGAGGGACAAGGTCCGAGAACTGTGAGATTTGCTCCTCATGAAGGGCAGCCCAGTAGGAGGAGCTGAGCAGTGTTCTGGCTGTAAGAAGGGGAAACCAGCTGCCAAGGTCTGAGCCCCCTCCCGACTCTGTGCATAAAAAACCTTACAGAAAAAAAGGTAAGTGGTATAATCGCGCATAAGTTTATACTAACAAAAATCTCACTTTTGTTTTAGATAACTCTCTATGATTTCATTTGAAAAAAGGGATTGTCAAAAGTCTGAAAAACCAGATCCCCACATAGCACCTAACACTGACCACAAAGGAAGTACAGAACTTGGTATCAGGTTAGAGGTTGATGGTCCCTTTTGGAGGGCTTTAAATATCCTTTTTTTCTTACACTTTCCAAGGCTCTAGAAAAGACAGCATTTTAACTGAAGGTCAGTTGCTAGGAAAGTAATCATTTAAATAAACAGAATATTAGGGGAGGGCTTCTAGTACCATATATAATGAGTTCGGCCTGAACAATATTAAGTAAGGTCCAAAGTAGAAGGATACATAAGTTGTCTTAAGTATTACTCACAAAATAGTACTATAATACAGGTTACCTACTTTCAGAGCATAAAATCTCTATGGTATAAGATCAAATTAATTAAAAGTTTCATTTACTGTCTATCCCAGCAGGAATTCCTTTATCTTTGATTGCCAAATAGATTGCACAAGGCCCATAGCAAAAAACTCAAGTGCTAAAAAGTATTATTATTATGAAGATTTAAAATAAGCTTTGTAAATAAGAGCCTAAAGATATTCTTTTAAAAATATACATATATTTTTAATATATTTCTATTTATTTCAGAGAGGAGGGGGGAGGGAGAGAGAGAGAGACTTCAGTGATGAGAGAGAATCATTGATCGGCTGCCTCCTGCACACCCCACACTGGGGATCGAGCCCGCAACCCCGGGCAAGTGCCCTGACCAGGACTTGAACCCTGAACTCCCGGTTCATAGGTTGACCCTCAACCACCCAGCCATGCCTGTCTGGCAAGAGATTCTTAAAAGCAGTGTTCACCCTAGGGAGAACCTAGAAAAGACTGGAATAAAAAAATATTTTTTTAGAATATTAACTTTAACAATTGGTCTGCTTTGGGAAGTATTTGTATAAGCAAACATTAAAAAAACAACAACCCTTCCTCTCCCAAGTTTACAGTGTGTTTTTATCCTAGCCATAATCTGGTGATATAAATCAGAGACTAAGAAAAACGGCACTCTGATAAAGTAATCATAGCAGAATTAACCTCATGCAGTATTTCAAATGAAAACGGTTACCTGAAAAGTGTGTCAGAAGTCTTGCTAGGACATGCTTGTTTACCAGTTCAGTCTTGTTAAGGCTGGAAATAAAATCTATGCTAGTAGTTTCTTTGATAACAGTGGGCTTTTCAGAAATCCCAAGGTCAGATCCAGTTTTGACATCGGCGTGTTCTAGGACATCATGCGATCTCTGTGGCTGAGAATATTCGGGAGCAAATGTGAAAGTCTGCTTGAGTATTTCTTCAGAAGGAGACTCTATTTTATCTGGTAACTTCTCACCCTGCCTTTCACTCAGTTCTTTAAGGGCTCTGATTGTGAGCTGTTCCTGTTCCCAGTCGAGAGATGCTACTGAAGTGCTGTGGGTGGGGAAAACATCCAAGAGCTCACTCCCACTTGCTTGCTTGTTTTGTTGAGAGTATTTGCTTTTTGGGTCTTTAATTTCAGAACCACCGGACTCACTTTCATGCAAGACTTCCACAGGAAGAGTTGTTCTGAAATCCATAGTCTTCTCTGATGTTGCTTCAAATACATTTCCTTTATCTTTATCTACTATTCCTTTCTCCCTGGTTTCTGTAAAGGCTGCTATCAGGTCCTCTGGGGAAGAATCATCTGTATCTGTAATATTTTTTTCATGTAATGACTCCAAATAGGGAGAGGCTGTCACATTTAGTGAGAATTCAGTCTCATTAAAATGATTTGAAGATGCTGCTGAAGGAAGTTTTGGGTCCTCAGTTATAACAACCTTTTCAGCAGGAGTAGTTTCACTCATTCTGTCTGACTGCTTCACATCTCCTGACATGACAATCATATCATGTACTTGGGAACATGCCACCATACTGGCTGGACTCCTTTTAAGAATATCAGGCTGACCTTTTGGCTCAGAGTCATTGACAGACCCTTCAAAGGTTTCAGATGTTTTGGTTTCCCTATTATAATTGAGAATTTCTTTGACTTCTCTTTCATCTGCTTTTACAATAGCACTTGAAGTGGAGACAGGTTTTTCAGTCTGAATTTTGCTACTTTCAAATGAAACATCGGCTGTGATGTCTTCTATTACTGTGTCATCAGACTCACCAGAACTATCAGCCTCTGTCCCTTCTCCCAACACAGAGCTCTGCCAGTTCATTTCGCCTTTCAGGTGGCCATCAGGTAAAAGCACTTTCACTGTGGCCCCTCCAGAACCCAAAGAGACACATTTCTCAAACGGAGACACAGGTAACGCTGAAAGTGTGTCATCTTGTTTCTGCACATTGCCTCGCACACCTTTACTACTGACGTCTGCCATGGAATTGAGAGCGCCGGGTACAGGTTTTCTAATGACAGCATTTTCTTGTGAGAGAGAGGATTCTGCCCCGTCACCTGTTGATTTACTGATGGGAGTGCTCCCATTAATAGAACACACAGAAGTTTTCTGATGCGTGTTAGTGTTAAGATTTATAACTGGAATTTTTGAATTATATTCACTCATGTCAAGTCCTGTAGTTTTGGTGATGTAGTCAGATTTATCGCTCTGCTGTTTCACTTGGGGAACCAAATCCCAAGTCAGTATCTCATTAGTGAAGTTATGCATATCACTCACACATCGAGACACCTCTTCCAGTGCTGCAGTTGTGTGTGAAAACTGTCTAGTGAGCAATGCAGAGGTTGGGTAACACCCTGCCTCTTTATTTCTTAGTGGAAATACTTTGTCATTAGACTCTGAAATGTCTGCAGATGATTCTCTATCAGTGTGCATTGCCCAACTACCAAAATCATTTGTGCTCTCCTTATATGCATCTTTAAATTCTTTGTCAAATGCTGCTTTGTCAATAATTACTTCAAATGGTGATTCAGGGGAATCCTTTTCTATAACACCACCTCCTGCAACTTTGCACGGGGACAAGGAGTTCATACAAATGCCTTCTGCCTTAGACTGCTCAGTGGGTGGTTTCTGGGCAGTTAGCAAAATGAACTTGTCATCAGCATCCAAGGCAGTTTTGTCATCCCTACTTGGTATCTCATTTACGTTCTTGGACTCTTGATTTTTATTTATTTGCTCTTCCATCTGAACAACTTTCTCCGAGAGAAAAGCAGGACGATCTGGGAAACTGGCTGGGATGGAAGGATGGTTACAGTGACCTCCTTCTGCAACAGAAACTGGGGAGTTGGCTCCGTCTTTACTGGTCCCCTGAGGCTTTTCCATCGTTTTCACATCTAGAAGAGCCAAGCAGTCCTTTCCTTTTCCTTCTTTGGCTAAAATAGGCTGGCTGCCTAACTCTTTGCTTTGCTCTCCATGGAGTATTGTACGGTCAGTGTTATGTATTTCAGAAGATGCAAAAAAGGAGGAAGTCCTAATTTCTGAAGGTGGCTCATCAGAGCTGAGACCCTCTATGATTGAAATTTGAAAGAAAAGGATTGTTTACCAAGTACAATTACACATTAGCTAGTCAGGCCAAGCAGCATGCGTTTTATTTTTTAAAGTACATATATACACACAGGATGTATATATACACACACAAATATTTAACAAAAACAATGCCAACAGTTATCCTATAAGACATGCATACAATTGCCAATGGTGAAACAGAAAAGCCACATCATGCTACAAATTGCAAATGACAAAAAAAATTCATGACAAATACTTTTCAGTATGCTTTTTCTATTGTAAAGGGAAAGCATAAAGGAGAGATGAGACTGGGACACCTGGGAAAGTTTCCCTCCTTTGTTTTGGTAGAGCTATTTAACAGAAATAACGCCATCCATACAAAACAACTTGATGTTATGAAGTACTGATAAACTCTCATCTGTAAACTGAACAATTCAGAAGATACTGCTTCTATAAATCCACTACTACAGTCTTAGAATCTGAGAAGAACAAACAGTGACCAGAGTTCTTTTTGATACAGTGAATCCCCTCTGAGCCTAAAAATCAGACTAGAATTATTCTGTTCTATCCATTGGGAAGACTGGTCCCAGGTACAGATGGCCTCAACATTTTAAGCTAAAGGTACTGAAAAAGCTTGCCTGCTCCAAAATCCTAGCACCGATTTGCCAATTCAACCAAAACTGAACTATGCAAATTGATTTAAGAGATAACTCCAGAAATCCTTTTAAAACAGAAAATATCATTCTAAAAAGTATACGTTAAGGCTTACCAGTTATTAACACCACTGTAGCCATTGATTTAGCACACTGCTTTCCAACTGCCCAAGCTAGCAAGTTTTTACTGGGGAAAAAAGATTAAAAACAACTGTTCCAAGGGCAGGCGTTGTCTTGGTGCATTCTTTCACATTGTTGGATCTTTAGAGTTGGAACAAAATAGGTCTTAAATCATTCCATATGAATGAATCAAAGGTTCAGGTTGAACAGGTGAGACTTAAGCAGACCCAAGGTAGCAAAGCCTTGAGTGTGAATAATTGGGAAGATGTGAAAGAGAAAAAACTTATTCAGCTTATGTTCTTTTTCATGTGAGAAGCTAAATAATCAGACAAAAGAAAAATTATTACTTTATTCAAAACTAGAGGCCCAATGCACGAAATTCATGTGAGGGGCTTGGCCCTCGCGGCCCGGCTGCCTTGGCCCTTGTGCCTCAGCTGCCTCGCGGTCCTGCCCACTGGTCATTCTGCAGTCAGGTCTAACTAGCATATTAGCTCTTTATTATGTAGGATAATTTTATAACTCAAAAATAAATAAGAATATCTTACTGCAATGAATAAATTCCACTATTATAAAAGTGTTCCTAAATGCCAGATAACGTTCCTTTATTTCAAGACATCACTGAAATTTGATGTAATAGGAATCGGGCCTTTAGAATAGTATGACTGTAATCTGGGTACAAGCATACTATTCTAGGACTCAGTGGCTCAGTGGTTGAATGTTGACCTATGAACCAGGAAGTTACAGTTCAATTCCCGGTCAGGGCTCATGCACAGGTTGTGGATTTGATCCCCGGTATGGGACATGTAGGATTCTCTCTCATCATTGATGTTTCTCTCTCTCTCTCTCACTCCAGAAGAAAAAAGTACATATATATATATATATACACATATATACATATATATACGTATATATAAAGTCTTTTAAAGAAAAGTGTGGTGATACAGAAAATATTTGAAATAAGCTGCAATTCAAATTTAGTTTTTTTTAAATACATTTTTTATTGATTTTTTTTACAGACAGGAAGAGAGAGGCATAGACTTAGAAACAAGGATGAGAGAGAAACATAAGCCTCCTCCTGCACACCTCCTACTGGGGATGTGCCCGCAACCAAGGTACATGCCCTTGACTGGAATTGAAACTGGGACCTTTCAGTCCGCAGGCCGACGCTCTATCCACTGAGCCCAACCGGTTAGGGCTCAAACAGGAATACAACTCTGAGGCGTATAAAACTGACTCCCCGACAGAGAATGCTCAGCCTATCCTTTTTATAGAGGTTGAGATTTCAGATGATTCAGACCTGTCATCTTACAGGCCAAAGTGAGCAAAATGAGTTAGTAATAACTCAACAAAAATCTGAGTGCCTATCATGTAGCAGACACTGTTTTAGAAACTAGGTTAAAAACAGTTGAACAAAACAGAAAATAGATTTGCCTTTGTGAAGCTTACAATACAGAGTAGGAGACAAACAATAAGCAAAACCAGTAGGTAAAATGAGGATGATGTGGTGGTGGCCTTGATGAAATGAAAAAGAAAGCAATTTATATTGATTGCTAATCAAAGAATACACAGTTTGCCGGGGGTGGAGGGATGGCAAGCATGGTAGAAGAATTCTATGCTTTGTCAGGACACAAATTTGTCAGTTGCCCAAGCCTTGCTTCTCTCCTATCTTTCTTGAACTCTTAATACTCTAAAAGTTTTGAGTGAAGTGTATAATAATCTGAAATAAAGTTAGATTAGGTCAGAAATCTTACTCTCACAATACCAACAAGTCCTATACTGAATGCCATGACTGCCTGAGGCTGCAAGCGTTTTTGTTGTGGTGGTTGTGGATCCTAACTTTTTACTAGCTGGTGTGGCTTGGTGGATAGAGCATCGGCCTGTGGACCGAAGGGTCCCAGGTTTGATTCGGGTCAAGGGCACGTACCCCGCTTGTGGGCTAGATCCCCATTGGGGGGAAGGGGGCCTGCAGGAGGCAGCCGATCAATGATTTTCTCTCATCATTGATGTTTCCGTCTCTCTCTCCCTCTCCCTTCCTCTCTGAAATCAATGAGGATATATTAAAAAAAAAATGCCCTAACTTTTTAGAGAGAGTGGAAGGGAGGGAGAGAGACAGAGAGAGAGGAAATCATGACACATCAATTGGTTGCATCCTGCATGAGCCCTGACAGGGGCTGAACCTTCAGTTGAGGTACTTGCCCTTGACCTGACCAGAATCTAATCTGCGACCCTTCAGTCCGTGGGCTGATGCTCTATCCACTGAACCAAACCGGCGAGGGCGACTGCAAGCATTTTACCAAATATTCTATAATATGAAAAAAACATTTCCTTGGCTAGTTAAAACCCTAACAAACTTGGACAGACCTGAGTTGTACCAAGACAATGGGAAAATTGGGCTGGAAGTAAAGAGTTTATAAAGAAATGAAAACATTAAATAGAATGAAGGCCAGAATGTAGTAAGTCTTTTAGAGCAGCTACCATACGCAAAGACTCTTCCAATCAGTCAGTATGGCACTTAATAAGTCATTGGTGTTGTCCAAGTCTGTCCTGATAAAATGGCAGAAAACTCTAGGGAGTTTGAAAATTGCTCGTTTTTAAAACACTATACATTGTAAAACTGCCTGATGAAATAACTCCGGGTTATCTTACATCTCAGAAAATGTCCACTACCCTTTCCTCTTTCAAAAGATAGCCCTTCACATGCAATACAAGAAACTTTCAACATTACTCAGAACAAATGTCTGTCAAAAAATTCCCCCATCATGAATTTATTCTAGTTATTTGCTATAATGAGATTTAATGTGCACATTCATCTTCAAAAATGCTAATCACTTAAAAATATGGCACTACTCTATTAACAAACAAGGGTTATACATCTACTAGAAGGGAATCAACGTATGGTAAGAGAAAAATGTCATAACTCAATGATCACAGAATGTCCCCAAAATGACCCAGTACTGAGCTTCTTGGTTACCCTTATCTTCTTAAACTCTAAGTGCCTATAAGACTCCATTTCTGAAATAAGACTAGGAAATTAAGTTGGCAGTCATGGTCTAAATTTCTAGACCACTCCCAAGCCAAAAATGCAAGATCCTTTCATCACACTTACTAATCATGTGGCCTTGGCAAATTGCTTAATCTCATCTAAAAAAGAGGGGATACTAAAGCACCTAACTCAAGAACTGCTGTCAGGAGTAAATGAGTCAATACAAGTGAAGTGCTTAGAACAGTATTTGACACTTATCAAATTCTCAATAAATGTCCCCAAACACCATATTCTAAAAAAAAAAAAAATCTCCTGACATAGAGACTCCAGAGGAAGATAAAGCTCAGGAATCTGCATGACAAGTTTCCCAGATAATGAACCTGGTTTGAGAACCACACCTTGAATGGATTTTATTCGTTTCTAAAAGAGCAGGAAGATTGAGCTGCATATCAGAGCTCTAGTCCTGAAAAATGCCAGATGACACTGACACTCTCACTCTTCACCAGAGGCATCTTTGTCCAGGAGCACAACTTGCAGGTTAGTAGGGGATGGGACAGGTGTTGTCCTTGGTGCTGCTTTAAATAATCTCTATACTAATTGTAAAGTACAGTAACTTGGAATTTTGCTTGGAATAAGAAGAGTGCCATTTAGCTAGAAAATATGGTATGAGAATTGAAGAATTTTTCCTCTTCTATGCCCAGAGTATTTTATCTTACAGAACAAGATGGGAGTTAAAAATGACATTATGAAAAAACTTCCAAGTGAATGCTTTATAACATCAAGTAAATTATTCAAATTAAAGAAAACCATATACATTTACGATTCAAAATATGTTCTTTTTACTGTTTCTTGTTCCCAAACTGTCCCTTAGTTCTCCCTAAGAAGAATGAATAGCTTAGAAATCTGTTATAGCTGCCACTAGTTATTCCCCCCTCTCCTTAGGCATTCATTACTTTTAAGTAAAAGGATACCTGCAACTTGGAAAAGCCACACACATCAGTGAAGAAAGACTGCCAGCCTGTAAGTAGCCACTAAGTTACTTTTTCACATACATACTATATGCTTATTCATACAAGGGAGGCTTGAAATATTCAGGTATAGGTTTTCCTACACTTGAATTTTCTCATGTTCACAAAACAAGAAAGACAAATTTTCGTGCAAAACAACACCAGCAACTTTCAGCCACAGCAGCATCAAAATAGGAAGTTAGCCAGCAGACACGTTGCAGCCAAGCTAGATCCTAAACAAAAAGTCTCTTTTGTACAAAGAAAAATGTTTTGCTTTTGTTAAAAAAAAAGGCTGTAACTGGCAAAATTTCCCCCTCAATGCTTGCCCCAAAGTTTAGTGTATAACTTCCTATTCCAGATGCCTACTGAGTTACTCAAATTGAATATAAATGTTGATTACTGCAAATGCACTTCCAATTCTGCATGTAGATAAAAAATCCTCTCCAATCTTATTTTTACCTACTTTCTCCAATGTCTTCTAAATAAAATCATAGTATTTTCAAGCCTACACTTTTATCAAAGGTTTCAAAAGTAGAAACCAAATTTCGGTTTTATTTTGTGTCTGATGAAAGGAATACATTCCTCAAATGACACTAAATTGCGTAACTAAAAGCAATATGGTTAAAAATTACTAATTTCTGCCTCTTCTGATTTTAACATTAACCTCAAAATGACATTTCTAAAAATACCTGCAAACCCTAAAATACAATTAATATACTTTATCATCTTTACATTAGGTAGTGGTTATGGGCATGGGCTTTGAATCCTAGGTCTGTCACAGTGTGACCTTGAGCAAGTTATTTCACCATTTTAAACTCCAGTTTCCTCAATTGGTAAAAGAATAGTATTTTTACTCCATAAAATTGGCTATGAAGATTAAGTGAGATAATTCATATAAAGTACTGCACCTTGGCCTGATATTTTAGTTGGTCAGAGCATCGTCCTGATATGCTAAGGCAGGGGTCCTCAAACTTTTTAAACAGGGGGCCAGTTCACTGTCCCTCAGACCGTTGGAGGGCTGGACTATAGTTTAAAAAAAAAACAAACTATGAACAAATTCCTATACACACTGCACATATCTTATTTTGAAGTAAAAAAACAAAACGGGAACAAATACAATATTTGTATTTGCATGTGGGCCACGGGCCGTAGTTTGAGGACCCCTGCTGGTCATGGCACAGATAAAAATCAACCAATGAATGCACGAATAAGTGGAACAAAATCAATGTGTGTCTCTCTCTCCCTTTCTCTCTCAAAAATCAATAAATAGCCGAAACCGGTTTGGCTCAGTGGATAGAGCGTCGGCCTGCGGACTGAGGGGTCCCAGGTTCAATTCCGGTCAAGGGCATGTTACCTGGGTTGTGGGCACATCCCCAGTGGGAGATGTGCAGGAGGCAGCTGATCGATGTTTCTCTCTCATCGATGTTTCTAACTATCTCTCTCCCTTCCTCTCTGTAAAAAATCAATAAAATATATTTTTTTAAAAATCAATAAATGAATTTAAAAAATAAAGTACTGAGCATCATATAAGCTCAATAAAAATTAACCCCATACTACATCTACACATCTGTTAATATCTTTATTTTACAGTACAGGAAAACATTATCAAAATTTACTCCCCTATTTTGAAATGCTCAGAGATTAGGCTGAAATTTAATTCTTTAATGAGAAAAAAGGAGTCAATAAGCAAAAGACCTACTCAGGAGGATTATTCCACTGACATTCTCATCACAAATCTATTCATTAGCTTTCAAAAACTGTAAACTGTTAGCTTACGTAGCTGTATACCTCAAAGTAGTACAACTTAATATTACATAATTTCTTTTTGAAATATTAAACTGCCTTTCTTTATTAGGTCCAAATTAATAAGTTTTTGGTACATGCATCTCATTGAAGCCCAATAGTGATAAGTATATATTCCAGGATTAAAATTAAATAAGAAATTGCCTCATTTAATGATTGCTACATATTGCTTAGTATGGTTTAGATAGACACAAAAGTGAGGCACAGTTCTCCACGGCATTAGGCTCCGGATATGGAAGCCAGAGACAGGTTAGGTGGGTTAGTGCCATGATGGACTCAAGGTGTCTGCTGGTGGCAGCAGCTACTCTGAAAGGCCTTCATTGGTTGGACTGGTCTCAGCTATTCTTCCAGGGGTTTTAATCAAGGACACCATCAACTTCCTCTTCCCTTATATTTTTAAAAATCGTTATTGTTAAAAGTATTACGTATGTCCCCCCTTTTCCTGTTGACCTCTTCTAGCCCACTTTTCCCTTTTTAAATTTTACTTTTATTTATTGATTTGAGAGAAAGAAACATCAATTCTGTTGTTCCACTTATTTATGCATTCATTGGTTGATTCTTGTATGTGCCCTGACCAGGAATTGAACCCGCAACGTTGGTTTATCAGGATGAACTCTAATCAACTGAGCTACCCAGCCAGGGCCTCCTTATTTTTATTAAGGTACACTAGAAGCACCAGCCTTGGCTATCCTAGAGCACACCTAATCACTTGCCAAGGCGTTACCTCAAACAACTGAACAGGCTGATCTTTAGGCCTGCCAATGAAGTAGAGTACTAACTGGGTTACTTTTCCATTATGCGAGCAAGGAGCACGTGTGTGTGTGCGTGTTTTTATTTTGCAAAAGAAAATACCATAACAGAGGCTGGACTGGAACACCTTCAGGGATCTGACATTTTTAACTGACTTTGTACAATACCTTTTTAGCAATAACACTATCCTGAATCTGCACTGGTCAAAATAACTTTTTTCCCCCTAAACCTCATCCAAGGACATGCTTATTGATTTCAAAATAACTCTTTGTATGTGTAATTTTTTCTAACAGGGATTAAAATAACATTTAAATCTATGATAGTTATCTTCTCAAAAGGTGACTGAAAGTTATAACTACAAAGAATGTATTTTCTTTCTTTCTTTCTTTCTTTCTTTCTTTCTTTCTTTTTCTTTCTTTCTTTCTTTTTTAAAATATATTTTATTGATTTTCCACAGAGAGGAAGAGGGATAGAGAGTTAGAAACATCGATCAGCCGCCTCCTGCACACCCCCCACTGGGGATGTGCCCGCAACCAAGGCACATGCCCTTGACCAGAATCAAACCTGGGACCCCTCAGTCCGCAGGCTGACGCTCTATCCACTGAGCCAAACCGGTTACGGCCAAAGAATGTATTTTAAAAGATCTGAAATATTTACAGTAGAGAAATACAATTATTTGTTCTATTTACATTGTGTTTTTACTGGTTTATTTTCTGCAGTGGAATAAATGTAGTATCTATTTACCTAAATTATTTAATTTCCAATGAGGGGGGGAAAAAACCCTTCAAAAAATATCATTCTGGTCAGGTTCCAGATGTCAAGAATCACTTTGTAGGTTTCATTACTTTCTAACACTCAGAAAATATCTATCTTTTAATGTAATTTGACCCACAAGATATCAAAAACAGTGAGGCAAATTATAAAGGGTTTGGGGATCTAATGTTAGCAGCCTTTAAAAGCAACAAATTATCACTTAGAAGCAACAAATTATCTATCATGTTTCTTACAAAGCAGATCAAACTCTGAAAAAAATCTTGTGGGATTCATTTTACCTCATTATGTTTTTATTTTTATAAGATCAGTCTTCCGAACAAGCCAGTATCCAGACTTTAGAATTCAGCGGGGACAATCAACTGCAAAGGTTTTCTTAGACCTATCTAGTGAGTTTAATTATCTTTTTTAAAATAAGGGTTTTCCACTGATCTATATTTGATGTCAAGTACAACAGCACAAACAAAACAGCACTTTATTATTAGTGCAAATCAACAAAGCACACAACACTCTCTCCTCCAGCTTTCCTAGCAGTGCTACTACCTCCACAAACCTATAGCTGTCTCACTCATGCTCCCTTCCTTATTGGTTGGCAGATCTAAAAAAAAAAAAAAAAAAAAAAAAAAAGCCACAGCTTAATCTGTAGGAAAACAAGCCTCGCTTGCCAAAAAGTCAACTGACTTGTTCAATGTTTCTAGGCTATTTGGAACTAGCCTAGCTCTTCAGACAAATCTCAGAGAAGTTCACACTAAAAAACTCTAGCTAAGATAGTATACTAGTTCAGTGGAAGCACACTTTTATACTGTTCCCCACCCCCCCAATCCAATACCTCTCCAAAGCAGTTACATAACTGCAAATCTGTAAGTTAAATGCATTCTGGGGGTGGGGTTTTCTGAACCACAATTCTATCTGTTCCAAATTCGATAGGTGAGTTTTTGATTTTTAAGAAATACTCAACACCACAACTCAAGCTTAGGCTATGTTAAAGGGTCCACCTAGCTTCATTCTACTTCATTAACCTTTACAAAAAATCCATTGGAAACTGCTAAATAGTATAAAGAACTGGCTTGTAATTAGTTTTTATTTTAAGGGGGCAATCAACTTGTGCCATATATCCCCAGTTACAGCCTCTTTCTCAACATTTTTCTTTTATTAATGTACATAAAAAAATGACAGACTTGCCTTGTGAGGTCGGAAATAGAGATACAGGCTGAGAGGAAGAGGAAGAAACAAAGGAATCTGAAAGAAAATATACAGCGTGAGAATTTGACAACCTCACACAGGAATTTTAACTTTTCTTTTATTTTGGCCAAGCATCATAATTCCATTGGGTTTGAGCAAGAGAGAAAAACCCAAGTCTTTATTTCCAATTACTGTTTTCACTCACCTGGCAGCAAAATCTTATTTCATTTTGAGATGCATTTCTAAAAGTTAATCCATTTTTTTTTTTTTGGCGGGGGGTGGGAGGAGGGGAAGGAGAGTCAAACAGTCTCGCCTCCATGGGAAGAAAAGAGGGGCTCCTAGCACTGCTAAACAAGTACAGCCTCAAGGAAGGCGATGCTCCCCTGCAACTCTTTGTGGGAAAGGAAAAATAAGTATCTGATTATTAACTGATATTTGCTTTTAACCATTGTAAACTGCATTTTGTGAAGTCAGCCACTAAAATATGAGTATTTAAACATACATAGCTGGCAAATATGCAAAGTTGACCCTGAATACTTAAAAAACAAAACGCAATTCACAGGGAAAATAGTACTACATGAGAAATCTTCATCTTTTAAAATTATACTCCTCTAAACTTGGCGACATGTATCAAAAATTTAAAGGTACCTCCCACCCCCCACACGTTCTTTAACGTCTAGAAATTTAACCTACAGATATATGTACATATATGTACAAAGACATGTGTATGAGGATATTCATAACAGCACTGGTTAAGTACTAGAAATAATCTAAATGACCATCAACAGAAAACTATGGAATAGTTGCTGTTGTGAAAAAGAATGGGGTTCAGGTATAGATGCTGATATGTATCTTGATACATTAAATTAAAAAGCCAAGTGCAGGCCCCGCCAGTGTGGCACAGTGGTTGAGGACTGACCTATGAAACAGGAGGTTGTGCTTCAATTCCTGGTAAAAGCACAGGCCAGGGTTGCAGGCTTGATCGTTGAAATTTTTATCTCTCTCCCTCTCCCTTCCTTTAAAATCAATTAAAAATTTTCTTTAATGGTTAAAACTTCTGCTCTCATTCAAAAAGATCCAAAGGCCTGCCTTGTGCCAGGTCCTGTTCAGGCATTAGGGATAGAACAGTGAAAACAACAGCAAAAATCTTCACTCTGATGGAACTTATATTCTGGTAGGGAAGACAAACAAAATAAGTCAAATATAATAAGATAGATTATGACAAGTAATAACATACTTTGTGTTTTGTGTTTTCCCCCCACTCTTGTGCCCTTTAAATAATTTGGCCAGGCAAAGACCTACAGAAGGTGAGAAAGAGTGAAGAGCTGTGAGGATACAGGGAGAAGGGCACCCTCGGCAGAGTGAACAGCAAGTCAGACTGAAGGAGAGGGGTATTTTTGGTGCGAAGAGTAACAAGGAGATCGGTGTGACTGAAGCTGGATGATCAAGGAGGAGAGGTGGGGCCAGATAACATAGGGCTGCAGAAGCCCTCTAAGGACTTAGGCATTCACTCTGTGAGGGGAAGCCAATGGAGCATGTGGCCATGAGTGACAGGATCTGACTTAAAATTTTCACAGATTTACACCAGCTGCTGTGCGGAGACTAGACTGAAGCTAGAGGCAAGGGAGAAAGTGTGGAGACGTTAGGAGGCATTGCGATAATCCAGGAGAGCTCCAACAGCACAGGGTGGTAGCAATGGGAGCTGAGAACACTGGTCGGACAATGGATGGATTTGGAAGGTAGAGTCTGTCGGATTTGCTGACAGTTGTATGAAGGAAAGAAAGTCCAGGATGACTCCAAGCTTTTTGATTAGGGCAAAAAGATAGATAAAATCACCATTTATTGAGATGGAAAAGCCTGTGAGAGAAACAGACTTAAAAGGAAAGATCAGGAGTTCGGTTTAGAAATAGTAAGCTTGAGATGCCTATTAGATGTGGAGGCTGAAGATAAAGATTTGGAAGTCATCAATGGTACTTCAAACCACAAGATGGGTGTCATAAATGAGACAAATGAACACAGGTAGAAAAAAGTTACATGAAGTGAGTCCTAGAGCACTCTAAATTTTAGATGTTGTGAAGATAAAGAATTAGCATTATAAAATCCCAGTAAGAAGAAAATCTAGACTCAAAGATTAGTGTTTGCCAAGGGGTGGGGGAAGAAACAAATGGAGAGTGACTGCTAATAGATAAGGGACTTCTTTTGGGGTGATAAAAATTTCCTGGAATAAGACAGTGATGATGGTTTGGCAACCTTGTATATATGCACTAAAAACCACTTTTAAATGGTGTTTTGTATGCTACGTGAATTTATGTCTCAAAATAACAACAAAAAACCACAAACACACAACAAAACAGCTAGCAAAGGAGACAAGGGAGGAGCAGCTAGTTAAAGACATGGAGGACACATTGAAAAAGGTATTTCAAAGAGGAGGGAGTGATGAATTTTACCAAAAGCTGTTGAAAGAGCATTTAAGATGAGGACTGAGAAGTGACCACTGGATTTAACAATGTGGAAAATAACTGGTGAACCTGAGGGAAGTTTCTGTAGAACAGCAGAGCAAAAAGGTACCTGGCTCAGAAACCATGGGACCAGAAATTAACTCAAAGTTAAAACTGGTAACTTAATTCAAGAGGGCGAGAGAACCACTTTTTATCATATTTCAAATTTTAAAGAGAGGCATTGTGTATATTTGCAAGAGAACTGAATTAGGCCCTCAATCCCTTAGTTTTAACCTACCCTCAACTTCACAGCCACAAACCTTTGCGTATATCATTTCATATGAGTCTGATTTCTCATCTGTAAAATGAGGTTTATATCACTACCTGACTAACTCACAGATAAACATGATACAAGTCTTTCTATTGAATATAGCCTTTAGAGGGGTTATCTGGGTTTTATTTACCTTCCTATCTCCTAAGGCACCTAACAAAGAGCTTTAATGTTTGCTTGAATATTTGTTGAATTAAGTTAATATATGGGCACAATTTACTAGTAAACCATAAAGCAATACACAAATGTAAGATATAAAAATTAAACATTTCTACTTCCTATGTAAAATGAAGACAATGCTCACTGTTGAAGTGCTTTCAAGTAACAGGACAAAAAGAGCTTTGTATTAGTTTACCCTTCAATATACCCTCAAGGGCAAGCTGCAAATGAAAAACATGTAAAAAAAGCTCACATGTCCCCTCTTGGTTAGGTTATGATGATGTCCTTACAGGGAGAAAAAAGGAGTGAGTTAATTTTTACAGGGAGAAAAAAGATTAAGAACATTTATCTGAAATTTTAAAAGACCACAACAGTGGGCTACCTGCTGACAACGCCCACCCCCCGATAATGTAAAATACAAATCTTATACAGTATTTAAAGGAATTCTCTCTGAAATTACAAGATCACAGAGAGTAACATGTCTTACATAAGTCAAAGACATGTAGACATGTAGTAAAAGACTTCAATAATGCAATCTCAAGCAATACTAATTATGGATAAACTTATTTAACATACCTTTTCTAAAAGGGCTTTAAAAAGTTTTACTATGAAATTTACATATTTGCCACAAGTCTGTATAGTTTAGGCCAGTGGCCGGCAAACTGCAGCTCGCGAGCCACATGCGGCTCTTTGGCCCCTTGAGTGAGGCACTTCCACAAAATACCGACTTCTGCACATGGGCCACAAGTTTCAGTCGCACTGTATGTGCACGCCCGCACCTGGTAGCACCGCACTCAAGGGGCCAAAGAGCTGCATGTGGCTCGCGAGCTGCAGTTTGCTGACCACTGGTTTAGGCAATAAATTATAAGTTAAGTTTGAACACAAACTATAAGCTAAGTACACACAATAAATATGCATAGTTAGCCCTAGCTGGTTTGGCTCAGTAGATAAAGTGTCGGCCTGTGGACTGAAGGGTGGTCCCCAGGTCAATTCCGGTCAAGGGCACATGCCTGGGTTGTAGGCTCCATCCCCAGTAGGGGGCGGGTAGGAGGCAGCTAATCAGTGATTCTCTCTCATCATTGATGTTTCTGACTCTCTCTCCCTCTCCCTTCCTCTCTGAAATCAATAAAGATATATTAAAAAAATAAAATAGTACTTCTACTCTCTATCCCTTTATAAAAATATGCATAGTTAATCAATTCTAGGATTATGGCTAGTCTAAAAATAAATGCCTTTCTACAGAACAACCTCTTGGCTCAAACAAAACTGGAAACCTTATCTTTCCCTTTCCCTTCAATGACTTGTCACCAGTTCCTTCAATACCAAACTTAATTTACAAGTTCTTTTTTTTTTTTTTTAACAAGTTCTTGAAATACATAGGATTAAACAGGCGACTCCTGTATCAGGAAGAATATATCATTTCCTCACCACAGAATACAATAAAAGCAATTATATTAGTTTTATTTTGTTTTCAGACCATCTCTAAAATAATAAAAAATAAAAACACTGATGCTCTAGATTTCAATTTCAGGTTAAGGTATGCCTGTTAAATATATATACCAACTGGTTTGATCAGAGGGGTTAAATTACTTGTGAATTTGACCCTAAAAGAGAACAGCATTATAAGAAACCTTTCATTCCTGAGGAATAAAAACCTTCCAAATCAACAGGCATTTTGTAAACTATATTGACATGACCATTCTTGCTGACTCCTGTACTCTTGCTTCCACTGATAGGAGCTTCATAATGTATCATAACTACATTTATTCTGGTCAGAATGCTGTAGCTAATATTTAAGCATACAGATGTCATGTCAAGCCATCTATGAAACATCTTGCCTTTCCCTGCCCCCAACCACCACTTAAAAAAAAAGTTATTTTTATTGATTTCAGAGATAGGAAGGGAGAGATAGAAACATCAATGATGTGAGAGAATCATTGATCAGCTGCCTCTTGCGCCTCCCCCCTACTGGGGATGGAGCCTGCAACCCAAGAATGTGCCCTTGACTGGAATCAAACCTGGGACCCTTCAGTCCGCAGGCTGACGCTCTATCCACTGAGCCAAACTAGCTAGGACCAACCACCACTTCTTTAACAGACTAGCTGAGTGAAAGGGGTAGCAGCTTTAAGACATTAATGTGAGGGGTCAAAAGTTGAAAGAACTCACTTTTAGAAAGAAGAAAAAGGTATTAAGATCTCCCTTTATTATGAGGAAGATTATGATTTCTCACTTGTAATTCAATTGGTATTTTGCACCTAGGTGCAAAAGTCTGTAATATGCAAACAAATGCACAAAATATTAGGTATTGTAATTCAATAAAAGGAGTTGAGGTCAAGGCAAATTTGTCTAGGTCACATTGCTGAGGCTGAGGGTTTACACTGGGCCATATAATTAATGAGTCAGACTCAAACCCAGATGTCTCAGGGACTCAAGTCTGTGTTTATCACCGTATTACAGTGCCACTGATGATGTGACATGAGTACAATATAGATAACGTCAGTGTTGAACAGGTAGTCAGTCAGATTCCTTTTTATTTAAGGGTTCAGACTGAAAATACAAATTATATACTTACATTTGATTGACTTGTTAGAACAAAGTGTGAAAATGATGCCATAAAAAGTACATAGAACAGCCCTAACTGGTTTGGCTCAGTGGATAGAGCGTAGGCCTGCGGACTGAAGGGTCCCAGGTTCGATTCTGGTCAGGGGCATGTACCTTGGTTGCGGGAGCATCCCCAGTAGGGGGTGTGCAGGAGGCAGCTGATCTCTCTCATTGATGTTTCTAACTCTGTTTCTCTCCCTTCCTCTCTGTAAAAAATCAATAAAATCTATTAAAAAAAGTACATAGAACAACTAAGTTTCATGCATGAAGAAAGATTTAAAGCATAAACTTAAAAAAGAAAAGAAAAGTTGTCCAAGCTGTTTTTGTTGCTGCTGTTGTTTTTTTTTTTATATTTTATTGATCTTAGAGAGGAAGGGAGAGGGAGAGAGAGATAGAAACATCAATGATGAGAGAGAATCATTGATCGGCTGCCTCCTGCATGCCCCTTACTGGTGATCGAGCCCGCAGCCCAGGCATGTGCGCTTGGCCAGAATCGAACCTGGGACCCTTCAGTCTGCAGGCCAACACTCTACCCATTGAGCCAAACCAGCTAGGGCAGTCCAGGCTGTTTTTGCTTTGAGCTAATTTCCAAGAACAGATACAAGAAATGCAGCTTTATTTTGGCATCATGATTTTCACAGCAATAATACAACTCTCACCCCGAAAAGAGCACTAAATATGTAAATCTCTTTCACCTCAACTTCAAATTTCTGCCTTGAAATCTTCAATTTCCTCCAAAGGCAGGAAGCTGGGAAGCCAAGTGTGGCCCCCGACCTCCTGCACGCACACTCCACTGCCAGCTGCACTGCGTCCGAGGCACTGGACCGGACAGTGCCATCGCTCGTTCTCTACCTTTAGGTAGAAACGAATATTTCTAAAATCGTTACTCAACAGGTCGGAAAGACAAAACTGTTTCCTAAAGGACACCAAGTGACCGTTTACTCTTCTTTTTTTGAAAGTCTCTAAGACCAAGAGGAGCTTGGTGAAATAACGTGAAGGCTGACATCAACACACGTAGATTTTTAAACCATCAAGGAAGGTTTTTCTTAGTATTCGTTTTAAATGAGTCACATTTTGGAATAACAAAGTCCATCTTATTTTCACGGTGCCGGAGCCTGAGACATTGCCTCTGAGAGATGGAGAAAGCATTCTGCAACAGGGAAAGCGTCTGCAGTGAAATGATAACTAGGCATGACAGTATCTCACAGGGGCCACCAAACCTGTGTCAATGAGTTCCGGACAGTATCAATACACATTTCCAAGGGATAGGAATTCAAGATAGGGAATCTATCTAGTTTATCTTTCAGGTGAGTAGAACATTTTAAATCAAGAAAAATCAAAAGATATGCACAAAAGGGCCAGCGATGGAGACCAGTAAGCAATGACAAGCAATTCGCTTTGTCTAATGGAGTGGCTAAGTCATAGGGAAGCTGCTGTTCACCTGGACCTTTGCCCAGAACACAAAAATTGGGAGCAGAAATGCTTGGTGGTGTAAAGGGAACAAGGGCTCTAAATTTGCTGCCTCATTCCTTCCACTGGACAGCCGATCTTGACATTGCAGAAGCTTCCTCTGCTACTGTTTCTACTGAAATGGTCACCACCACACTGGGGAAATCCAACAGGGCACCACAACTCTTACGTGGGAAATCCACGACTCAAGAAACACGTAGAGGATATACTTAAAGCCAAGATCAGAAATGTTAAGTTCTTTATAACCATCAACCCAAGATTCTGGCAAAGAAGACAAGAAAGCATTTTTAAATCTCCCCCAAATCCTTTAACTAACTAAATAGAGAGCAACATCATCTGTGTGTGTGTGTGTGTGGGTGTGTGTGTGTGTATATGTATATATACACATATATATACTGAGTGACCAGATTATTATGACTGGCCAGATTATTATGACCACCCCATAGGTACAATGAAGTGAATTAGTTATGCAAATAATAATAATAAAACCTTGAGAGTATTTGCTTAGGAAGTTCTCAATATTCAGTATTTTTGGAAGTGTCAATGAAGTACTGATGGGGTGGTCATAATAATCTGGCCGGTTATAATAATCTGGCCACCCAGTGTGTGTGTGTGTATACATTTTTTCCCCCTCCGAAGACTGAGCTCCTTTGCCACCTGCTCGGGTGCGTTTTTTCCTCCTGCAGAAGACGCCTGCACTGCAGATCTCCGCCCTGGGGGAGCTTGCCAGCCAGCTCCCACCGACGGGCGGGCAGACGCGCATACAATGGAAACTAAAAGCGGCTGCAGCATCCCTCCCCGCTTTTCACGGCCAGGGAAGAGGGGGGTCCCACCAGCTTTGTCTGACCGCCTCCCCCTCCCCCTTTTCTGCGGTAAACACCCCCTTTTGTTACACCGCCATCAACAGCAGCCCAACAGAAAAAGCATGAAATCAAAATCCGAGGCGGGCCGGCCCGGCTCCGAGGATCACCTTCTAGAACACAGGCGGCTGCCGGCGCGGCCCCTCCCCCACCCGCGCCCGGAGGAGCGGGCGGCGCTGCAGATGCAGCCCCGGATCCATCTTGGACCATCGGCAGCTCCCCCCCCAACCTTCCCCGCGCTGCTCGCACTCATCACGCCTCCCTCCGCCTCGGAGCCTCCGACAATCCGGGCATTTAGTGAGTCCGGCGACGGCAAAGCAAAGGCAGGTAAAAACGGGGTAGAACGCGGCTCCGACGTGTCCACGACACTTCCTCGTCCTCCCCACACGGGTAACCAAAAAAAAAATTTTTTTTTCGTTTGGATGACCACCAGGAATGTCTGATGGTGTCAACACCTGCTGCAAACCTGCCCTGCAGCCCTTCCGCCGCCGTCCCCGGAAAGCCGCCCCTGATCCCCGCTCCGAGGACCAGCCCGCCCGACCCTCACTCCTCCTGAGCCGCCCGGTCCGGGGGCTGCTCCCCGAGCTGGGGGCCCCCGCCGGGCCGCGGCCCACGCCCACTCCCGGGGACGGCTCCCCGCGGCAGCCTGTTTCCTCACGCCCCGTTATTTCCTCACCGCCCGCGCGACCGGCGCTCCCTTCCCCCTCCGCCCGGTTCCCGACGCCGGCCCCGGGCTGCAGCCGCCGGGAGGGAGGGCGCTCTGCCTGCCCCGAGGCCCCCCGACACCCGCTCCCGAGGGCGGGTCCCCCGGCGCCTCACCCGCACAGGAGGAGCCGCAGCTCTTCGTCCCCAGGGCGGGGCAGGCTCCCGGGCTCCCGGCCCCGCCGGGCGCGGAGGGCTCGGCCCCGGAGGACGTCGAGGAGACTGACGGGGACTGAGTGGCCGCCGACAGGTCCGCCATGGCTGCGAGGGCGAGAGCGGGGTGAAGAGAGATGTGGGGCGGGAGAGAGGGCGGGGAAAGAAAATGATAGGACGGGGGGCTCTGCGAAGTCCTTTCGCTCCGGCTGCTGCGAGGACGGGCTCCGACAGACTGACGGACTCGGCCGGGCACAGCGAGAGGGCGGGAGCGCGAGTGCGCAGGCGCACAGAGGGCCCTCGGGCGGGCGGCGGCCGCGTCGAGGTGCCCAGCGACGCAGGACGCAGGCGCAAGAATTGTCCCTTCGCGTTCTTCACGCCACGCCCCTGGGGGGGCGGGGAAGGAGAGCAACCGCAAAGGGGCGTGGCCAAGCGCCAAGCCCCGCCCGCCACCGAGACTGCAGTGGGAGGGGGGCCTGCGAATTAGCTTCCTTCGTGACTCCGCGAGTGTTTTAGGGTCGGCGGATTCCGGGCTCTAAGGATAGACGTCTCTTTTTGCTCTCAGCAGGTGGACTCTCTTTCCCGTCATTTCCAGAGCCCTCGTCTTTTGTCCGATGCGTTTCCACCTGTGACTCCAATGAAACCTGCAAACCCCAGGGTGGAGTAGGCCCACTCTGCGAGGTGCTTTATGAATTTTTCTGGATGTGTCTCACGATATGTTTTCACCATGAGGCAGAGAGGGCACGGTCCGCCATTTGGTAGGTGGAGAAAGATGCTGCACAGAATGGAAAAACGATTACTCATTCCAGTCACATTGCAATGCAGCTGCAGAACCTGCTTCAAATTCTTACCTCATTACTGTTCCCCAAAAGGGCTCTAGACCGCCTTGGGTCTTCAGATCGTCTCTTCCTGCGAATAGTCTATCAGGTAAAGAAGGCAAATTTTGACGGATAAAAACCTGAGCTTCTGAGAAAAGAAGAGCCAGGAGATAGCACCCTGGCTGTGGTTAGAGGGGATGGTAAGATGAGGTACTAGAAATTGAGAATATGGTACAAAATACACGACTGAATTTGATTCATAGGGGTCATTAGCAGAAAATGTACTTGAAACCAAATATCTAGCTCATATTAGATTTTGTTCATTTTTTGGAATTCACTTCAGTTGGTCTGCAAAATTCAAAGCCTTCTCCCTACATTTGGTCAAAATATTTGAAATGTGCATAATTCCTTTACAAAGGGGAACAGAGACTGGAAATAATAAAAATCAAGGCTGTAGGCTTTGTTATTGCTAAAGCAGCAATTGATGACCCGAAGGGCAATTGCAGGATCAGCAGATCCTGTAAAGATGCTGCCTCATGAAGGTCGAGGTACTCAGCCAGGTGGCCTGAAAGGAAAAGCAGTCTGGCCAGTGGAAATATGCTAGAACAGTGGACTACATCTGCCCTTGGCAGTTTTTAAGGTCAGACAAAGCCCAGACAGGAGAAAAACTCCCGGCTGTTGCAACACTGAATAAAGGCACAGAAGCATATTTCCCAAAATAACTTTGTGGCAAACATCTTACTCTGGCACCTACAGCATCAGTTGATAATGCAGGACTCTGCCCTTTAGATGGCAAGAGGAAATACCAGCCAATGGATGACCAAGCCCATCCTGATAAATGGATAAAGTTTAAAAATTTATGATAGTAGGTGCTCCATAAGGAAACGAAGCAATTGCTAGAATCTGGAGACCCTGGCCGGAAAGGAAACCCATTTCCATGATATCTTTCTAGAAGCAGAGAAAAGAAGCTAAAAATCAAGACACTGGTGTGGTCTCGGTGGTCTCTTCAGACCCTTCAGATATTTTAATGTAAGACGCCTTTGTGCCAGGTCCAATTGTTGGAGCTCTTTCCTTCCTGATCTCTCCTACTTTACCAGCAAACTTCCCAGTAAGCGAGACTGACTTGGGATGTCATTTGTACACATGATTTGTCCCACAAATGTTTACTGATCACCTGCTGTGTGTGTGGCACTATCCTGGGAAACCTGGAGGGATTTAAAAAAATGTTTATTCTGTCTTCCATGAGCTTACAAGCTAGTTGGGGCTTAGGACATACTCACATAAAGTTAAAAAATACAAATTAAATAGCAACCCCAAACAATCCCACACAACACAATACTATCATGCTATAATTAGATGGCAAATGAATTGCATGAATTTAAGAGGAGAGGGAATCACTATGGACTTATAGTGATTTGGGGAGTTTTTATGAAGAAGCCCAAAGTCAGACAGGGCTTTGGAGTGGTAAAGAGGTCATTGAAGGCAGGAGAAGAATGGTGTGAGGCAAATACACAGTAAGACCTCCTTCTGGGCAGAACAATCACAGAACCCCCCTCCCAGCCCAGCCCATGATGCACTGCAGTGCTGGCTTGTCTAGCAGAAGAAACTGAGATTGGATCCCCTCTCAGCTCTCCCCTTCACAGGCTGCCTTGGCCTCCTGAAGTGGCTGGAGGCTCAGAAGTGTATCTGTATAGAAGGTGTTTTGAGTGTAGTTAACCCAAGTTGGCTAGAGCCAATGGCTTGTACTGGGAAAAGCGGGAGATAAAATGGGGAAGATACATTGGGGTCAGAGTGTAGAGAAGCTGTAATATAGAACTAAAGAATGGAGGCTTTGTCTTTTTCAAAAAAATATATTTATTATTGATTTCAGAGAGGAAGGGAGAGGGAGAGAGAAAGAGAGAAACATCAATGATGAGAGAGAATCATTGATTGGCTGCCTCCTGCACACCCCCTATTGGGGATCGAGCCCACAACCCTGGGCATGTGCCCTTGACTGGAATCAAACCTGGGACCCTTCGGTCCGCAGGCTGAAGCTCTATCCACTGAGCCAAACCAGCCAGGGCAAGGAGGCTTTGTCTTAAGACCAATGGGGATTCAGTGAAAGTTTTCAGGCAGGGAAGGGCCCCCATGGGATTTTTAAAGTGCTCACTGTAGCTTAGTCATTCCTCAGAACTTCTGTTGAGCAATTTTTTTTATTTTATTTTATTGATTTTTTACAGAGAGGAAGGGAGAGAGATAGAGAGTCAGAAACATCGATGAGAGAGAAACATCGACCAGCTGCCTCCTGCACATCCCCCACCGGGGATGTGCCCGCAACCCAGGTACATGCCCTTGACCGGAATCGAACCTGGGACCTTTCAGTCTGCAGGCCGACGCTCTATCCACTGAGCCAAACCGGTTTCGGCTTCTGTTGAGCAATTTTTAATGCTGAGGCACTGAGCTGGGCCTCTTCTTCCTCGGCCCTGTCCTTACAGGACTGGTTTTTACACAGCTAATTTACCATCTCAGCTTCTAGGCCATCTCATTACCCCATTTTTTTTTCTTTAGAAAAAAAGTATTTTAATTAAACATTTAAAAAATATATTCACAGGTCATATATATGTTCATGTACACGTGCATGCCCACACATCTTTTTCAAAAGTATATACAATACACTATAAAGTTTCTTCTATACTAACCCCTCTCCACCCACCAGTCTCTCTACCTACATACATGTAGGTAACTGTTAGGAGCTTTTCGTGGCAAGTGCAAAGGTGAAGAAAGCAAAGCTGTATCTTCACCCACCCTTTTTTTTTTTTTAAATATATTTTATTGATTTTTTACAGAAAGGAAGGGAGAGAGATAGAGAGTTAGAAACATCGAGAGAGAGAAACATCGATCAGCTGCCTCCCGCACATCCCCCACTGGGGACGTGCCCGCAACCCAGGCACATGCCCCTGACCGGAATCGAACCCGGGACCCTTCAGTCCACAGGCCGACGCTCTATCCACTGAGCCAAACCGGTTTTGGCCACCCACCCTTTTTAATACAAACGTTAGCATGCTATGCACTGTTAGGCATCTTGCTTCTTTTCCGTAAGAGTAAATTCTAGTGCTCTCCGTCTTTCTGAATGTTAGACGGCTGTGCTGTTGGCTGAAACAACAAGGAAGCAGCTGGCAGGTCTTGAGCTCTTACTGTGTTACCATGCGAAGGGCAGGCATTCAGGTTTCTAATACCCTGTGAGTTGGGGGTTGACTGTTTTCTTTTTATAAAGTAGGACACCAAGTCGCTACCTCATTTTATACATGAACAAAGGAAGGCACGAACAGTCCAGTGACACCAAAGGATGCAAGTAGTCCCGTCTGTCCCGCCGCGTGCCCATACTGTTGCTTAAACACGGATTTTGCAAGTAGGTGGAAGGACAGAAGGCTGAACGGTGTCCTGGCGCAGTCACAGCGAGGGACTCTTTCCTTGGCCATTTACCCCACAAGACGGTGCGTCTCCGGAAGACAGGACTGCTTCTCGCGGCGCCTGCAGCATCACTGCCTAGTGCGGCGCCTGGCCCATAACAAGCGCCTTGGCACCTGAGTCACAGTGGCTAGAACCGCCGAAAACAACTTTGCTATTTTTGTGCTTCATAAAAATACTTGAGGAACCTTAAGTATTTACGGCTTTGTTTTGCTGTTCCAGAATGGTGATTACCACTTTCCGAGCGCTAACTAGGCATCAGCCACAATTGCCAAACACATCTCAGTTAACTTACAATACTGTGAGTTGAGTAGTCAGATCATTTGACAATGATGAAACGAGTTCAAAGAAGTTAAGTAACTCACTCAAGTTTGCACAGCTAGTGAGCCTCCGAGTCAGAATTCAAAGCCAGGCCAAAGCCGATGGCCTTAACCATTCAAACACGTCTACCTGTCACCTACTTAGGGAAAACCAACCACAAGAGAGCTCAGCCTCTGGCCAGACCACATGACTCGATTCAGAATGAGATGGCTGAAGGCAGGCTGTAATCAGTGACACCAATATTTAGCATTTTGAATGTCCACTGTTTTGATGACCCTGAATAGTTGGGAAGGAAACAGCAACAATAACAACAAAACATGTTTCTCATTAATCATGTACCTGTAATTTGTACTGTGTTGTTCCAAAAGCCCAAAGCTTCTACAAGGTATGAGGAAGGCTGATGTTGCTAACGATGACCTTGATAATGTCATATTGAGACAGATGTTACATCAGTATTTGCTGGTAACTTCCTGAAGAATGGATTTCAGTGGATCTCTATTGGTAGCCCTTGTAATAGAATAGGGTATTTTGTTCAAATGCAAAACTAGATACTTTGTATTAAAAGTAACAAGAAAGTGAGTGAGTGGTGTTAGGTGCAACATATACCTTCTTTATTCACCCATTCAATAACTATTTGAGTTTTGCCCAGCTGGTGTGGCTCAGTGGTTGAACATCAACCTATGAACTAGGAGGTCATGGTTCGATTCCCGGTCACGGAATGTGCCCAGGTTGTGGGTTTGATCCCCAGTGTGGGATGTGCAGGAGGCAGCCAATCAATGATTCTCTCTCATCATTGATGTTTCTATCTCTCTCTCCCTCTCCCTTCCTCTCTGAAATTAAATCAATCTATCTATCTATCTATCTATCTATCTATCTATCTATCATCTATCTATCATCTACCTATCTTTGAGTTTTTACTAACTACCTGTCACTGTGAACAAAAGAGACAAAAAATTGTCTGTTTAGAACATACATTCTAATGGGAAAAGATAAACAACAAGAAAAGGAAAACTAGTTAGATGGCGCACCATCAGGTAAGAAGCCTTATGGGAAGAAGTCTTACGGAGATGGACGGGGAAAGGGAATAGAAAATGCAGTTTTAAATTCTTACACTGTGTAATGCAATTGTGACATCATTGGCTTTTCACCCCGCTCTCTCTCTGAGCCTGCCAGATAATGCCCTGGATTTGGAAGGTCCTGCCTTCTGCTCCGTGTGAAACCTCAGTAAACACTTTCCCCGATGTTCATGTCTAGTTCCTTCTGGCCCCAGTTGGTCTAGATCTAATCTAGACCCTGAAATCTAAAATCTGGAGGAAGATATTCAAATGATCTTGAGAGTTTGGGGAGACTCAAAAGGGGCAGGGGAAAATAAATCAAAAGAGGACCTTTTTAGGTAAGATTAGGCAGAATTATCTTTACCTCTTCACCTCTGATCTACTCACTAGTTAACAGCTTGAGGGCTTGGCAGGACCTAGAAGTAGCTGGATAGGTTATCCTAGTTCAGAGGCAGAAGAAAAAAAAAAGTGAATACTTTTTTTTTTAAGTGAATGAGGCCATGGTGATGCCAAGAGGTGGTGTGGTGTATGATGGATGCTTTGGCCTCCCATAAGCTTCACCAGTTACTTAACCCCAAGAGAACTGCCCCACCTGAATAAATCCAAAATAACAACACTATTTATTCAATTGTGGCAACGGACATTTCCGCAATCCTATGTGAAGTGTGAATAAAAGCACGTTCGGAGAAGCTTGTTTTGCGTTGATTTACCAGTTTAAGGATGTGCTTGCAAAGCAGCTTCAGAAAAGCGCCTGTAAACCTGAGGTTAACAAAAGATGGCCGTGGCTGAGGCTGGACAAGGCCGGTGGAAGGGTTTCACCGCTCACATTAGCTCTTAGAGTGGGGATGCTGCACCGTCGGGCTCGGCCCGGGACGGGAAAATGGGGGAAGCTGGTAACGAAGTCACAGCCTCCTCCCCTTGTGAAGTCAAAATCGTTGAAAAACCGGTGCCGCTCACGTCACCCTGGGTTAAGGCCGTCTTCCGGTCCTTAGGGCAGAGTGCCGCCCACCTGTGGCCCCGAGCAGAGTTAAACACCGAAACCGTCTCCAACGCCGGGCCGACGGGGGCTCGACGCCGGTTAGCCCAAGGGCTGGGTCCCGGGCCGGGTCTCCAGGCGGGACTCGCAGGCGGGCTCCCGCCCCGGCCGGCCCTCACCTCCCCGCAAGGCCTGCTGGGAGTTGTAGTTCAGTTGTCGAAAAGCCCAGAGAAGTCCATCCCCCTTCTTCTGCTTCCTTCCCGCCCGGGATGAGTGCGCAGAACCAGGAGCCCTGGCGGGGACCCAGAGAGCATAGGACTACAATTCCCAACGGACCGCTGGCCCCAGTGCGCAGACCCAGGTAGACGGCGGCGCGCTCCGCGCTCCCGCGCAGGCGCGCACAGGTCGGGGCGGTGGCGGGATTCGGCCGCATGCGCTTTTCCGCTCCAGCTCATCCAGGGCTCGCCGCGCCCGCAGCCGCCCGTCAGGCCTCGCCCACCCGCCCTGTGCTCGCTCCCTCGCAGTTCCGCGCTCCCCTCCGTCTCTCCAGTTTCTCCCAGAGCCCAGGCCCCGCCTGTTTCCCGCCTCCAAGGCCAAGTTTGTTCCCGCCCAAGCCCTTCCCTCTCTGAGCCCTGCTGCTTCTGCTAAGGGCGGAGGCTCCATGTTGTCTCCTCATCGAGCGGTAGCGGCTGCCTCGGGAGGAGCAGGTGAGGCGCCTAATCATCCCCCCCTGCCCCCGGGCCCACTGTGTGGCCACCCCCGCCGCCCTTCCTGCTAGAACTCGGAGGGGACCGCCCGACCGCGCCGCCGTTCTTCCTTGTCCCGGGGCTGGGACCGTATGTTCCTGAATGCGGAGCCGGGGGCTGCTCGCTGGGCCCGGTCGGTCGGGCGCGGGCGGCGTCTTACTCGGCCCCCGGCTGGGAGCGAGCGGCCGCCGTCGGGGGTCGTGCCCTGCGCCGGGGGAGGGCGCTAGTGCTCCCCTGGGCTGTTGCTGCGGGTCTGGCGCGCCCCGCACCCCTGGGGCGGGTCCGGAGGCTTCAGCCCGGCTCTGGGCAGAGCCCGGCGCGCGGGGGCTTCGGCCCCTTTCCCGCCCGAGCGCTTCGCACGCTCGGGGGCCGGGAGCCGGGAGCCGGGCGCCGGGTGGCTCCGGCCTGGCCGACGCCGAGGGAGCGGGAAGGCGGATGCTTTCCCCGTCCCGCCGGTAGGAAGGCCGTGGAGGACGCGACGCTTCGGAGCTGGGCGCTCCCTTTCCATCCTGACGACCTTGAGGCCCCACCACAAGCATTGAGAAAGCTGGTCTTGAGCCCACGCTGCATGGCCACGAGGAGATAACAGATGCGGCCCGAGTTTTCTGTTGGGACGTTCTTTTAGTTCGTGTGGTACTGCTCGTTGTTCCTTTGCTTTCCTGAAGACAAAAAAAAAAAAAAGAAAAAAGAAAAAAAGTAAAAGTTTTAAATGAAAACCAAGTAGAAGTGACCGTAAATCACGGGTCCGCCTTCGCCTGTCAGTTACCTGGCTTTATTGTTTAACGCGGGTGCTGTTGAAATTGCCACAAGTTTCACTTGCGAAATCGAGAGGCAAGAGGAGACGGTAACATTGGGGAGACGGTAACATTGGGGAGACGGTAACATTGGGGAGACGGTAACATTGGGGAGACGGTAACATTGGAGGATCGTTTGGTCAGTAAATGGACCCGCGCCCTCCAGGCTGAAGACGGAGTTGGTGGGATGCTTTGTGAAAGGGCGGGAAGAGCTAACGGGCCGGGAACGCGACCTCACATTTTGACTTGCGTTTGGAGAAGCAGAACCCACATAGTTTTAATCTGCGGCAAGGACTGAACATGGCAAAGTCCCGAAGTTCTAAAATTAGTCCTTTTTTTTCAGCCCCCATAGACAGTAGCTTGTAGTCTAGAAATCCCTGCTGTTTCTGCTTAACCACCTGCAAATGAAACACTTGGATGAAAAGTTCTCTACACTAGCACAGCACATTGTCTTATTAGCTAGGGTTTATCTCATTGTAGTACACGTGCAATTCAGAAAAGCAATAATAAATAGAGGATAAATGTGCAGAGGTGTACTAGCATCATTTTCTTAGTTGTCACTAAACAGGCTTTTAAAAAATCGGTACAGCACTTTCTCATTTTTATGATTTCTAAATCATAGAATAAAGAATATAGTCATGCTAATTATTTAAAATAAAATAGAGAATTGTAAGAAGCAAGAAATATAAAGTTTTATTCTACTTCTCCTGTTCCCCAGTGGTCATTATTAATAATTTGGTCACATACTGTTATTTGTTTTTTGGGGTCACATATTTTACGGTTCCTGTGAAGTACCTTAGGGAACCCTAGGTTGTATGAACTTGTTTGAGAACGGGTTTAGAATTTACCTTTAATGACTAGGCGTGCCTGTTAAAGTTTTACGGCCTTATTTTTCATTTTGAGAAATTGTTCAAATAACACAACTACGTTTTAAAGTTAGTCTCAATTCTAAAACATTTCCCCAAGTTATCTTTGACATTTTAGAAACATATTCTCTAAGCTCTATCAAGGGGGGAAGTGAGGGGGAAGCTTTTATTTAAAAGAAAAATCTTTTAGTTGCCATAGTGTTGCAGTTCTCAGCACTGCTGCGCATTAGAATAACCTGGCTTTTTTTTTTTTTAAAACCTGTGGATGCTTGGGACCCACCCACAGATTCCGATTTAATTCATTGAATGGTCAGGCAACAGTTAAAAAAATCCAAATCTAATTTTCATACTAATTTATAATCAAATTTCCCTATAGGTGGTTGCTTATGTTTGAATTGGTTTGTTACTATATAGGAAGTATAATTTGTAATTCAGTATTTGTGTTAGAAGTTGATGCTCTTCATTGCAAATTTCTAAAGAAATGTTTTTTATTGGCATTTTGATGGTTAGAACAGGTTAAATCTATTTCACAGCTAAAGAATGTTACAAATCAGGAAACAGGCTTCACTGGTATAGTAGGCAAATAAGCAAGTGATTAACTCTTCTTATGCCTTGAAATGATAAGGAATCTCAGGCAAATAAATACTGCCAAATAAGAAAGCCTTACTAAACTGGAACACATAATTAAAACCTTCAGGTAATGAGAATGATTTTAGTGGTGGTCTCATTTTTAGGGAAAAGTCAAATGAGATGAATATTAACTCATTCTCTATTAAAAAGATGCCTAGCATCACTTTTAGATTCAGTTGGGTCTCTGCATTTCTGAATCTTCAATACTGTTTAGTCATAATTGATCTTCATAAATCATGAAGCACTCCAAAATTCTTAATTGGCAAATGGTTTTGTTCAGCATTCTGTGCTAAAATAAAATATAAAGATTTTTTACAACAGATGAACTGAGAAAAAGCTTCTTCCAAAATCCTTTAATTAATCAAGATGTAAAATTTCCCCTGATATTGTTTAGTTGGGTTTAAGTAGTACTTTCACTGAAACAGCCTTAGAAATTTATGGGTATCTACCATCATACTCCTACCTTGAGACAAAGTAGAGCACATAAAAGTACTTACTCATCATCACCGCAAAGGAACCACACCCAGCAGTTCTGGAGTTGGCTGAGGGCTTGTACTTTCTCTTGTGATGATGTTTTCTCTGGCCTGGTCTGTGAATTGGGAGCTTTAAAAACTGCCCGCACGGACAAGGCATGAAAACGGCATGCTGTTTCTGAGTGTGTTGCTTTTTGACTAGCGAATGGATCTCAAAAGGAGAGTGGAAAACTCGGGTCATAACTTTACCCTGAGTCATGCACTCTACTCAGTGAAATGTTTCTAACTCAGTTGATTTGCTTTTTGGAACTCATTGGACAGTAAGGACGGGCACTGCGGCTGGCTCCGCCCAGCTGATTTTGTAGAGAAAACCGAGACACAGAGAAGAAAGTGGTTTCTTCAGGCTGTTCCATTCCGTGCACAACTGGGCCCCACACTGGTCTTTCCTGATTGTTGAGCAGGCCTTACTCCTATACGTGTTGCCCCACTAGAATAACAACCTTTGCCAAATCATGGAAGGAAGGCGTGACAGGATTTGGTGGTGTATTGCACCCAGGAAGATAGGGAAGATGTGGAGTCTGAACCAAGGAGATTTGAGAAGTGGATTAACTGAGGATTCATTTTGAAGGCACTAAATGTAGATTTCTAAAATGTTAGTGTTGGAAGGGTTGCTAGAGCTTAAATCTTGACTCATTTTTCTGTTGAGACAGACGAGACATGCCCAGAATCACACAGGTTGTTTGCGGTAGAACCGGAACAGGATCTGTGTCCTGGCTCTTGTGCCATATATTTCTACATAGTACTCCTTAGAGGTGATAGTGGAATATCCAGGTGAATCTGCCCCTTAGGCAGTTGTACATTTGGACCCGAATGCAGGTTAGAAGTTCACGAGGTGGTATCACCAACATAGAGGGTGTAGGAAATGATTCACAGCTCACTGAGGGAGTGAGTGAGAACTTCCAAAAGGATTGAAGCAGAGCCTTGGTGTATGTCATAGGAGGCTGGGAAGAAGGGAAAGAAGGGAAAGATGATACAGAGGTTCGAAGGGAACTAGGAATGTACCCTGTCACTGAGTGCGTAGATTTGAAGAAGCTTTAGAAGCCGGAGCTGCTGTGTTTTGTCACAGAGAGAGGCTTGAATGAGAATCAAGAAAGGCTGTCAAATTTGGCAGGAGAGGTCTTCAGTAAACTGGAGAGGTTGAGAGGAAAATCAGATACGAGGTGCCAAGGGGAATGGTTCCATATGCAGATGACGACATACCTTCAAGGCGTTTGACAATGAAAGAAAGACTGGGCCCTGACCGGTTTGGCTCAGTGGATAGAGCGTTGGACTGCGGACTGAGGGGTCCCTGGTTCGGTTCCCGTCAAGGGCATGTACCTTGGTTGTGGGCACATCCTTTGTGGGGAGTGTGCAGGAGGCAGCTGAATCGATGTTTCTAACTCTCTCTCCCTTCCTCTCTGTAAAATATCAATAAAATATATTAAAAAAAAAGAAAAGAAAGAAAGACTGGGATGGGGAAGGGAAGAAGCTGATCTTTATTGAGGTTTACTATTGGGTTTAGTGTTCACAGCACTAGGAGACTATTACCCTGCCTGTGTTAGGTGCTGAGGCTGAGTGCCTCCCAGTTGCTCTGCTCCTCAGGGGTTCCCAGCCTGGGTTGTGAATCAGAAGTACAGTATAATCATTGTGATGAGTAGAATAGCTATGTACAAGGTTTTAGTGGAAATAGGAGAGTGGGTCTACTTTATCAAGTCCCTGAAATGTGTCAAACACTGGGCTTTGAGGTGGGTATTAGATTTATAAATAAACGGAGCTTTAAGTGGTTAGAAATTTATCCATAGTCACATTGTGACTAAGGGTGGAGTTTATTCCACAAACATTTATTGGCTGTCCATTATGTGTGGACACTGTTCCAGGATATTGGGGAATATAGCACTGATCGAGAGACAAAAATTCTGCCCTAACCGGTTTGGTTCAGTGGATAGAGTGTCGGCCTGCGGACTGGGGGGTTCCAGGTTTGATTCCGGTCAAGGGCATGTACTTTGGTTGCAGGCACATCACCAGTGGGAGGTGTGCAGGAGGCGGCTGATTGATGTTTCTCTCTCATCGATGTTTCTTACTCTCTATCCCTCTCCCTTCCTCTCTGTAAAAAATAAATAAAATATATTAAAAAAAAAAAGAGACAAAAATTCTTACCCTCATGGAGCTTACATTCTCGGTGGGAGAAAGTAAGGATTTAAGCCTTGCCCTGTATCCCATATACTTAGGTGATGTGTCCTCTGAGGGTAGGCTGGGGAGATCAGGACAACGGGAGGGTGAAGGTGAGTGTTGAAGGATGAACAGGTGTGTTTGTGGGGAGTGAAGCGGGGAGAAGCATTTTAGGCGGTGAGAACAAATGGTTGAGTAGGTTGAACACTGGAGGTTTAGGGTAGGATAGTACCTGAATCCTAACGCTCTCCCAGTAGCAAGACCAACAAGAATACATTTGCCTGGGAGAATGAGGAGAATAAGTTAGAGGAACTAAGGCAGTGGAGGGGTGGGGTTTTAGTTTCAAGTTGTCCACAAAATGTTTGTGGTAGCCTTTATGTAGTTGCTGTCATGGTATGTTCATGTACTGTAATGAAGGAGTTCAGCCCTCCGGGACTGAGGCAACATCATCAAAGAAACACCTGGGGCCCCTCTTCCGGGGATGGTGACTTCAGGCATTTCCCATGGTCCATGTTGGACATGCCGTCAGAGGCTGTCCTGCAATACAGCCTCTAACAAAACTAGGCTGCCCCAAGCCCCTGGCAATAGAATTGCTTACCTTTATGCCAAGAAGGTTGGGAAAGCACCAGAATCTCCCTGTGGTGCGTGCCCAGGCCGACTTAGAGGATTTCATGCTGTGAGGCCTCCAGTTCTCATGAGGTTGTCTACAATGAAAAGACTTGTCAGGAGGGCCCGTGGTGGGGCCACGTGTGCTAAATGTGTCCAGGACAGGACCAAGCGTGCCTTCCTCACTGAGGAGCAGAAGATCGTTGTGCAAGTATTGAAGGCGCAAGCAGAGTCAGAAAACTAAATAAGTTAAAAAATGAAGCTTTTTTTGAGTAATAAAAGCAATTAAAAGGCAAAAAAAAAGAAACAGTTGTGAATGGTGACTTGGATGATCAACCTTATAGGCAAGAAATGTTGGAAGATGGCTTAGCCTAAGGGAATGGGCCCTAAAATTTGGATTAAGGGTTCTAAGGCATTGGGGAGTCTGAGCTATGAGGATAAGTCAGGACATTCACATGACGTCTGGAAAGAGATGAGTAGAAGTAAAGTTTTTACTTGGCAGATGAGTAATACAGTCCCATTGTCCTAGAACAGTGATGGCGAACCTTTTGAGCTCGGCGTGTCAGCATTTTGAAAAACCCTAACTTTGGGTCTATATGCCGTGTCACATATAGAAATTTTTTGATATTTGCAACCATAGTAAAACAAAGATTTATATTTTTGATATTTATTTTATATATTTAAATGCCATTTAACAAAGAAAAATCAACCAAAAAAATGAGTTCGCGTGTCACAGGTTCGCCATCACTGTCCTAAAAAGTCAAGGAGAAAGATGGTGGAGAGTGAGCAGCTCTATTTGCTTACGTTGAATTTTGGTTACAATTCAAGCCAGAAGAACAAGATCTGTTTAAAACCCGGTGTGCCCACTGCACTGTTTGAAGAGAAGTCAGGATCGTCCCACTAAACAGCCTGCTTCTCTTCCTTTTCACTGCGCTCTAGGCAGAGAGGAAGCTGTGCGTGAAGGCTTTGTCACCTTAAAAACAAAACAAAACAAAACAAAACAGAAACACTTCTCAGTGGTCTCCGCCTTCTCTTGAAATGCAGCTCATTGCGCCCAACTGCATACATTTTTGTTGTTGGATTTTTCTGTCCTGTCTGCGGCCCGTGTATCCTTATCTTCCATGCCCCTTGCCCTAACAGCACCACCTGCATCCTTCGGGTTGCAGCTTTCACCTGTATTGCAGCACATATTCATTCTTTCTTACGATTGTTTATTGTGTGCCTGCTGTATACCAGGACATTCACATTGCTCAGTAAACTTTAATAGTGAAATAGATGAAATTGAAAGTATCATGAACTTAATTGTGAAGTCCTGGGTGACTGCTGTATTGGTTTCTAGGTTTGGGTATATGTGATTGAACCTCCAGATAAGTGATTTAAGCAAGGTACACTTTAAAAAATATATATGTATATATTTATTGACTTCAGAGAGGAAGGGAAAGGGAGAGAGAGATAGAAACATCAATGATGAGAGAGAATCATCGATCGGCTGCCTCCTGCACACCCCACACTGGGGATCGAGCCTGCAACCTGGGCCTGTGCCCCTGACCGGAATCGAACCGTCAGTCCACAGGCTGACGCTCTATCCACAGAGCCAAACCAGCTAGGGCAAGCAAGGTACACTTTAACTTTTCTTCCACATAAAAGTGAGCCAGCATGGCAGTTCTATTACATGAAGTCCTAGGCCCTACCTCTCGTTGCTCCAATATTCCTAGGGTGTTGCCCTCATGTGCCTGGTCCAGGATGACTCACTCTCACTTCTCCATCTAGCCAGCAGGAAGGGGGAAAATGAGTGACCTGGAAGTTGCTATATCATTTCCAGTCAGAATTTAGTCACACGAAGACACCCTAGCTGCAGGGTTGGTTTGGAAATGTGTTTCTTTTGGGCAGTTAAGATGCCCAGCTAAAAATCTATTACCTAGCAGGAGGGAAAACATTGGGTGAGAAACCAGCTATCTCAGAGACTTTGGTACTGCTTTGAGCGGTTTATCCATAAGGTCTGAATAAATTGTTCTCATGGACTCTTTTATATGAAACACTGAAGGTTTTTAAGTCCTGGATTCACCTGCTGTTGTGGCAATAAAAAGAACCCTAAGAGATTATTCACAGAAATGTTTCCTTTCTTATCACCAATAATGGTAAAGTATTGGTATACATTTATTACAACAATAGCATGACACGTATTTGTTTTCTAGTAGTTTGTAAAAAACTAAAAAGTGCCCTAGCCGGTTTGGCTCAGTGGATGGAGCGTTGGCCTGAGGACTGAAGGGTCCTAGGTTCGATTCCGGCCAAGGGCACATGCTGGGTTGTGGGCTCGATCCCCAGTAGGGGGCATGCAGGAGGCAGCTGATCAATGATCCTCTCTCCCTCTCCCTTCCTCTCTGAAGTCAATAAAGAAATATATTTAAAAAAATTAAAAAGTGCCAAGAACCCTTTTGTTGTTATGTGATAAAGTATAAAAAGTGAGCAGCAGTTCCGTAGCTTAAAGGGTAGATAGACTCTGGCAGTCAAGCGTTGACTTTAGCTG